CTTCCTTGCTCTGCAGAATTGTGTTCATAATGCGTCCTGAATCTGATATGATAACGTACGCATAATTCTTAAAGTATCCGTAAGCATTTTGCGAGCGAGAAACGTTTCAGGAATATTACGTACGTCGGCAGTTTTGGATCGTGAAGCATTCGAATCTTACTGGTTAACAGTTGAAGCAAGCGATTTGGCTCAAGTTCCTCTGTCATCCGTACTTCACGTTTTTGTTCGTGTTCTTGACAAAAATGATCACGTACCATTCTCACTGCGACCGATTTATTTTGCCAGTGTTCCAGAGAACTCGCCCGAGGATACAGTTGTCGTTAAAGTAACCTTTTTTCGAGTATAATCATATTGTTAAAAAAGTCAGTATGCTGAATTCAGGGCTTGATCACCGCGCTAAATTTTTGTCTTTCAGATAGAGGCTGAAGATAGAGATGATATCTCGAATAATTATGTTTCTATGTCTGTGCGCTACAGGATTATCAGTGGTGATCCTCAAAGCTTCTTTTTAATCGATCCAAAAACAGGTTTTTTTTTAAATTTCTGGTTAAATTAGTTGTCAGTATTTACAAACTGGACGCAAATTGTAATTTTAATGATGCTTGGTGCAGAGCGATTGTTTGCTCACTGGAATTAAGCGTGAATTGAGAGTTTGCAAGATGAAGCTGTGCAACTATCCTACAGAATACGGTTTTCAGCAAAGAGTTATGAATTTACTGCTCTTCAGGTTATGTGGTAACTCGCGGAAGACGTCGCCTTGACCGTGAAACCCAAAAAGAGTACGTTATTACGGTTGAGATATGTGACCAGGGTGATCCGATACTCTGTAGTACCGTACCCATTGTTATTGCGGTCAATGATCTGAACGATAATTCGCCCTATTTCAAGCAATCCGCCTTCCGTTTTATTGTACCGGCTGGCGAAGTTGGCGAGCTTTGCAGGCAGGCATTACTTCAGCTTCATTTGGTATCTGCTAGGAGACATTAATTGCGAAATGCATGTTCACATTCACTTGTTTGTTAGTGGTGACATACTTCTTTGGTAAGGTAAGACTACTGTCCAAAAAATTGCTT